TATTGACAATTATTTAGATTTAAAATAAGTAAATTACATGAAATTCGAAGCGCGAGAGTTAACCGATGAAATTAAACATTCATAGGCAACATTCATAGACATAACGACACCAGAAAAATGATCCGAATTGGATAAAAGAATCAAGCTGATCGTGCAACATCTATATAGGGGTTCAACAAACAATTAATTTAATCAAGAGACTTGCAATACCAACCGAGCATTGTGATATAAAAAGCATAACTATTTATTTCAAAATGCTCCAAACAAAGGTTAGATAAATTGATTATAAACATTAGCAAGATAACTACAAGCATAATCAATAAGGTTGTAAAATGGTGGGGAAGCAATCAGAATATAAGTAAGCGGTTGTAATAGCAAATACAGGTTTTCTACAGCGAAAATCCCATCAAAAAATGTAACGTAGGAGATGCCTGGCTTGCCTTGAAATGCATATATGCCCTGTGACCCACTGAAAAACGTGGAAGCGACCTGGTTGTGATATATAGAAATTATGTACTGCACTATCAGGGTACGATTCTCGTTGGTGAGGTGAGGTCGAAAATGCAGAACGCCATGGATGATAATACCTTCTGGGAGGCAAGGCTAAGTAAAATTCGATGGCATCATAAGACCTCTTCATATCGTTGTGATAAAGTTCAACTAACAGTCTTTCGACACTTCAGGCCGGTGAATACAGCTCTTATTAAGGAAGTACTAGTAGTTTCAAGACTTTTTTATCCTAATATAAGTTCATTTTACTTTTGATCAATCCCCATGGATTCCAATGAATATTTCATTAAGGATGGCATTAATATTTTGATTGCTGAGGCTTCGTTGTGTTATGAGGTAAACACCATCAAGAGAAAAATCTATGAGCTAGGTGAATGAAGAAACAAGTATAGGTAGTTTCGAGACTATCAGTGTCGAGCTTACGCTCTGAACTGTCATGACCAGACTCCTGTTGGGGGTGTTTATGAGACCTAAGTGAGGTCGAAACTGAAGTCCACTCTGGATGAGAACTATTTTTGAAAAAGGAAAGCTATATGAAATTCAATCGCAGCGTCAGCTCAACTCATATCATTATGGGAAAATTCAACTACCGGTCCTACATTACTTTAAGCGAAATAGAGCGAATATATCTCATATAATCGTAAGCCTGGTTTTGTGGCGGCAATCAGTGCAATAAAGTCCTGTCTGCAGAGAGTTTTTAAACGGAAAAATATGTAATGAAGCCAAATTTAAAGACGTTAATTTTTGAAATTGTAATCAACTCTACATACTCGTAGTAGTCACCAGCGAAATTTGCTATAAGTTGAAGAAAGCAAATTATCATGCAATGTAGCAATATTCAATTACTAGGACCTGGTAAGATCACGGAAAGAATATTTTACCGCCGTATACCTGTTCATAAGTTCCTACCAAGCTTAGCTTGCGGCTTATGCAAAAAGTAAAACATAAGATACAGGGAAATCACTGAGAAATTCTAAAACAAGATAGAAGACCTTAAATTGATGAAGAAAAATATTCGTGGGAAAGTGAAAGATGGATCATAGAGTAAGTTATATGCATTGGTTCATACAGTCAGCAATTTTAGAAAACCTTGCGGATTTATTTCGACATAAGAGAAAAAAATAAAGTTAAAAAAAACGTACAAGCCGAGGAAGAGGTGAGATCTTGTTTGCGCTTTGATGCGCGAGGTGGTGATGGCATTCTTAGATTAATGTCGGTGTCTCCATGCACTCGTCTGGGTCGTGATAGCTCATTCTGAGGAAATTAAAATAATTGTGAAAAGGGTTCGGGTAATTTATGATGATCTATTCTGATTATCGCGTTTGCATTGCAATCTACATAACTCAGGTGATTGGATTATACAATTGATTTTATTCCAATCAAGTTGTCGGTTATTAATATTAAGCAAGTAACCAAGTTACAAAAATAAAATTGCAAAATATTAGACGCAGCACCTCCTGCGAACCAAGTGTCAAGGACAGTTAAATGGATAAGTAATAATGAACACTTTCTTATATGTATTGGAATATGATTAACAAGCAATGAATTAATATCACAAGTAATACTTTTACAAATAATGGAATACAAAATTTAATATATAAAACGAAAGGAGAATCGAGAGTATTGTCAATGAATCAGATGATTGATGATGAGTACCAATATTTATTATATATCAATACAACCAAAGGATCTTAAACAATAGATGTATTTAACCTAAGCAAAGGGCGAAGAACTGAAAAGTGAATTTTGCCACAAAGATACGAATAATCCTTACGATGCCAGTTAGTTTAACTTAGCCTTTATTGTCAAAAAGGTATTCATTCAGATTGGACTATTGTTTCGACCACACATGGATTCCATTAACATCCCTAATGGGAAGTGAGACAGAGCCGTGAGCGTAGTGGTAATACTCAGAAAATATACGCTTCGGTACATGGGTTCGATTCACATTAGTAATCCGATGAGAGACACAGGCGAGGTCAAAGTTGCAGTCCACCCTGAATGAGAATACTTTATGGGAAGTAAGGCTAAGTGAAATTTATTGGCATGGTGAGATCTACTTATAGCATTGTGGGAAAATTAAACTATAATCTCTTCTTTACCTTATGGGACCTAGGATGACTAAAGCTCCTGCAAAGAAATTAAGAGACCTATAGATAATAAGATATGAGAAGATGGATCAGATAAATATATCGGTACAACATATATCACAACTAGCCAGCATAAAGTTGGCCAAGGTACGAGTTGTAGTTCGGCGCAAAGAATGACAAATCTTGCAGAAGATGCCAACTAAGCGTCTGGGAATACACAAAATCATCGGTCCGATATTAAAAGTAAGTAATGTAATGTCAAATAGCGCAATAAAGGGTATGTTCTTCTAGGTCTACTTGTAACTATAAATAAGTTACCAAGATAAATTCTATGAAGCGGAAGGGCAATGTGATCGAAAGAGGCCACAACATCCTGATTTCTGTAAAATTAAAAGCAGAGATTACCATTGTCGAAGAATGAACAAATTGTACACAACTCTACTTGGTGGCATAATAGGAATAAAGTTGGAAGTATCAAGGATGCCCAGAAAAATGATTTACCTATTGAGTTGAATTTCAATTTATAAGAGGATGCACAA